ACAATATGGCCGCAAGTGGGTGTCTGAAGTCGGAGCCCAGACCGCAGAGGAGCTGCTCAAGCTGGTCCTGATGGCACAGTTCTATGAAGCGTGCCCACCCAAACTGAGGCTGTGGCTCAAGGACCGGAGACCCGAGAACCCCCAGGAGGCCGGGAGACTGGCGGATGAGTTCACGGAGAGCCGGTCCGGGTGTGAATGGGAGTCCCGGAGAGAAAAGGAATCGCGCAGAGACCGGTTCTCAGCTGAGCGACGGAGAGAGTCACCTATGAGGCGAGCCCTAGAGACGAGTCATCTGCGCCCCAGAGAAGCAGCCAGGGCCTGGACAGAGAGAGCCCAAAGCCTAACTTGCCATCGCTGTGGGCAAAAAGGCCACAAGAAGGCTCAGTGCACCGTGAATGGGAGTCCCGGAGAGAAAAGGAATCGCGCAGAGACCGGTTCTCAGCTGAGCGACGGAGAGAGTCACCTATGAGGCGAGCCCTAGAGACGAGTCATCTGCGCCCCAGAGAAGCAGCCAGGGCCTGGACAGAGAGAGCCCAAAGCCTAACTTGCCATCGCTGTGGGCAAAAAGGCCACAAGAAGGCTCAGTGCACCAGGTCCCATGACCTGGGACTTTCCAGGGTTAACTGGCTGGGGCTGGAGGAAGGGCAGGCTGCCCCAGAGGCAGGGGCTGGCCGGCAAACCTCAGCTCAGAGTTGGGGGGGAAGGATGCTCAGTGCACCACCCCTGGGATGTCTGACCCTGGGGAGGCGGATTTCTCCATGTACCGGGTGGGGGCAGGACGGCCCCTGCGGAGCGACTGCCTCATACCTCTGGAGGCGGATGGTAGGAAGGTGATGGGTTTCTGGGACACGGGGGCGGAGGTGACGCTGGCCCGATCCGACATAGTGGCCCCAGAGCGGATACTACCCCATACCCAGCTGACCCTGAAGGGCATAGACGGGTCCCCGTTTAAGGTGCCTGTAGCCAGGGTGCATCTGAAATGGGGAGACAAGGAAGGTCTCAAGGAAGTGGGGTGCTGATGGGGAATGACCTAGAGGAGTGGCCCCATGAATCCCAGCGGGCTCTAGTCACTACCCGGAGCCAGAGCCAACGAGGGGCCGGCAACCTGGATCCAGAGAAGGACTCCCGGCAGAGTCCTCAGGGTCCCATCCCAGTGGACACAGGATCCAGCCAGGCTGGGACGCTGGACCTAGGCAAAGGTGGGGAACAGGTCCCGATCCCTGCCTCAGCGGCTGAATTCCAGGCTGAGGTGCAGGCAGACCCCTCCTTGCAGAGGCTGAGGGACCAGGCTGGTCTCCGTGCAGCTCAGCCCCTGGGGAGAGGTGGCCAGGAGAGATTCCTGTGGAAGTGGGGATTCCTGTTCCGGGAATGGCTTCCCCCCAGGAAGGTAAGGGCTTGGGGGGGTCCTGCGGCAGCTGGTAGTCCCCCAAAAGCATCGCCTCAAGCTGCTGTATTTGGCCCA